TGGCGCGGAGGGATGGAGGTGGGACGGAGGGATGAGAAAGCAGGTGAGACCTGCCTTTCCCTCCACCTTCAGGGAAAAACCGGGACTCTGCCGTTGGCACCGGCTCAAACCTTTATTTCCTGTGCCGCAGCCGGCCTTACAGCAAGAATCGGGTTTATCGCTGAAAGTAACTCGTTTCGGCTTTTTTTTTTTTTTTTTCCCCCCGACAGTGATGCGGGCAGTAATTACGGACATATTGGCTCCGATCCTAGGCAATCTATAGCAAAAAGGCAGCTAATTTCACTGAATCAGAATTGGGCCCACAGTCCCCGATTCTCTTTCAAACATCAGTCTAAAACATCGTGAACGAGAATACACGGGACATGAAATTTTTTTATTAAGTGGAAAAGCTCACCGTTATTCATCATTACTTGAAAATGTACCAATCTTGAAAGTCGAAAAGAGATAATTCAATAGATACAATTACTGCTAAATTTAATAAAGACAAATGATCGCGTGATTGACGTTTACTGATTTAAATGGATTGTTTATTGTTTGTACAAAAGGCCAAGTGTTCCACATACTTAAAACAACTCCTACAATATCATTCACACCATAACAATGCACTTTCTGCACTTATGGTAGAGTATGTATCTAGATGTTAATTTGTCTTCTCCATGTCTGTTTTATAACCACAATTTTGGTTAACCATACCTTCTTAGAAAATGAGCTCAGCTCCTCCTAAATACAGCCACAGAATTCAAGCAGCCTCATAATAAAAATCAGAAAAGAAGTCGGTACATCCTAACCATGCATTTTAATTCTCCGCTTGACTTATTTTTATACTGATTCTCAGTATCACTCTGTGAAAACAAAAATTCTTACATTAATTTGTGGTCTGCGACGAGATACAAGGGGTGGGAAACAAAAATTCTTACATTAATTTGTGGTCTGCAACGAGATATGAGGGGTGGGAAACCAGACCCAGTATTTAACCACACACGACTGGCCTTTTACAAGGGTTTATGTCCCCTTGTGCAGTTGGCTAACAAAACAGCAGGACAAGGAGAGGGGGACAACCCTGAAATGCACACATGTGGTGGCACTAGCATGAAAAAGGAAGAGATGCGTGAAAGTCATGGTTCAGCTCCAGCTGGACCAGCCTGTTGGTCCGAAACTGTACCAGCCCTGGCACTTCGACCATACCCTCCTGCCTTGGAATGAGCCTCGGGCACACAGGCAGCTCCACGGTTAGTGCTCTTCCAAAATAAATCACCTCTGCAATGCAAACTGAAAAGCATTTATCAACTTGAATTTTACCTGAACTTGCACCGAGTTGAGACCCTACAATAACAGCTAATCATTTTCCTCCTGCTTGCCAAAGGGACAACATGTCCCCAAATACTCTGAAAATCTTTAATGAGACCCTTCATGCAGTTAAGAGTGAATCACAACTAACACCTTCACATTTGGTGTACATGCAAAAAATGGCACGGAAACCCAAAACAATCCTACGAGGGCAAGTGAATAGCATCAGAGAGGGGTTTACGATCTTCGAGTCGGCAAGAGCAACAGGCAGGGTGGGATGCATGAGGCAGCACAAAGCTTAAGAGAAAAGGAGAGGCAATGAAGATAGATCCTTCTTTTTCAAGACAAGGTAGGAGCGGATGAAGCATTGATACTTTAGTAAGGTAATACCGACATATATGTCTAGCCATAGGTACGCAGTTGCTTGTCAGCTTAAGACATTTCGCCAGCCTCATCGTCTCCGCTTTGCTAAGCTTCAAGGACACCAGCTCTCCAATACAGTTCACAGCAGTCAGCTTTCCACTTGCGCTTGGAAAAATGATGATAATGAACATGGGAATTTCAAAGAGCAGTTTAACAAATCTCCGAAGTACCAGCACACTGCTAGGATACTGCCGTAAGGCCTTCCACTCTCTCCTGCCTCTGCTGGAGAGATGCATTGGTCGGTATTAAATCAATTCTTCAGGACATTTATGAACAGGGGTTGGGAAAACTTAAGATCTCTTCTGTCATCACGTAAGGGAAATAAATACTGCTCAAGGCAGGTGGTAACAAAAAAATGCCTCCTCGCCTCCTGGGGTGGGGGGGACACCCCCCCTCCCAACCCCCAAAGCAATCCAGAACCAAAAATTGTCTAACCAAAATTTGACGTTGAAACTTCAAACTGTAATGAAATAAAATTTAATCACCCAACATAATTCCTAACAGGAATTTCTCTAGGTAGGTTAATACCCTCACATAGACCCACCCACAGAGCTCATATTCAGTTTAATCACTACCTAAATGTCAGCCTCTATTCTAACCTGCTTTGCATTAGATGGGTATCAGCTCTTAAGGGAATGCAAGAACATCACAAGTTCTTACCATCAAACGTCAGTTCACCCCCCTCCCAAACTGTGTGCACCTTTTTATTTTCCTTTTTAGGAAATTTTTTATCAACAGTATCCCTGAAGTCCTACAGTAATTTTAATAACAGCAAAAACGCCAGAATAATGCAAACATGACGTCCACCTGCACCAGGTCTACAAAAAGCTATCTGACAAAGTCAGAATGCTTTGGGACAGTAAAGAGACAGTGGCTTCTACCAACTCAACTTCTGCCCCCACAACAAAGAAATACGTAGCTGATTTTCCTCCTTTAACAGCAGGGGGAAGGAAACACAGGTCGGAAGGTGTGGAATGGCAGAAGGGGTGATCAGGACAGTAGTCCTAAAGGTGCGACTGAAAATAACCTCTCAAAGTCTAAGCCTATGCAATGTTCAATGTTAAGTGTCAAGAACAAACGCTCCTACTCAGCAGCAAATTAGTGATGTAGAACAAACTGTTTGATAACACAGCTGCATGTATGAGAACTTAGCTTCTTGCTTTTAGAAGAGGAGAGGAAACAAAAATGCATAGGCCTGTTTTGAGTATTGACTTTTAATAGCTTGTTTCTCAAAAGGGAACAGGGGATGTTTTCTGTTTTAGAAATACAGGTATCAGTTGAGCTTTAAATACAGCCTGCTCCTGCCAACAGGTCATGTACATGATTTATTTGGCTTCAGCTTTTGTTTTTATGCATTAAGCAACCTTCAACCTTCTTTTGTAATACAATATATAGACAAATTTAAGTACAGAAATAGTGTAGGTATTCTACTGTCTTCACATTTTTCTTGACATACTGGACAAAGCAATACACAGCAGTCTGCCCCCAAGCCCGGGGTTCATAGAAAGCATGTTGAATACTGCTTTCAGTGGCAGACTCAACTTGCTCCCACATTTAATTTGCCAAATCTACAGAAATAGATCCTTTGGGAATATCAGGAATTACTTCTAACTTTGTCCAATGACATTCAAACGCTCAGGCAACTGCTGGTAACTTTAATTTTACAGTTACTACAGATGTTGCACACCGACAGGAAAAAGAAAGTTTTAGAACTGGACAAGCTATAGTAATCCAGGTTTTGGCAGATGAATTATATACAAAAAGGGGACTTTATATATAGTTTTCAATCTGTAGTTTCATTTTTCAAAATAAAACCTGTATATATAAATGGATAACATTCAATATCTGTATATGAGTAACAGTTGCTTTCTGGCTAAAACAGTATATTTAGACAGAATCTCACTTTCTGTTTTTACTTCAAGTATGCTAGCCGGTCCAGTCCTTTGGGAAAAAAAACCTTCCATTTTTACATCCTTTAGGATCCATCAGATTCACTATATGGTAATCATCTTAACTTATACAATATAGTATATTAAGAGGTGAACTGAAGGGGATTAGATATTGAAGTATCAGTCTGGGTGCAGTAAGCCAAACAGCTGTTTAAACATGATACTATAGCTGAAATAAGTCTCTGTCAGAGTAAAAACCAACATTCATGAAAACAGCAGCAGCCATCAAAAACATTCACAACTGCAGGGATTTTTTACCATGTGTAATTTTGCGTTATAAGTAGGAGAAGCCACAATAGTTAAAAGCAAAATTAAAAAAAAAACAAAACAAAACACTATAGTCTTGAATTTAATAACGTGAATTGTCACTCTTATAGCTGTTTATAGAAGTGTACTAAAAAAAATTTACTTAAACATATGAATTTAAGACTTTCACTTTATTCAGCAAATTGGTTTATTTACACAATGGGGAACGCTGGTTGAATGCTGTCAATGTAATAAAAACAAATCTAACAGAGACAATACTGAACTCTCTCTATGTATTCATAGCAGAAATGACAAACTATTTCCTTACCTGTATCAGGAACATCAAGCGCAACAATGGGACAGTATCATAGGACACTGATTTAACAATAAACCACAGAGGTCCAGTAATACTATGGCATTTTACTCATGTATTTACTGACTTTTTTAAAAAAAATAAAATAATTAAAAGTCAGCAATACCCAGTATAAAGTTCTGTCAATTATCAGAGTCAAACTCTGATGAGTAGGTCAGTAAAACCTTATCAGATCATCCACAATTCATAGTGACCTGATCTGCTTCAGACCACTAATACAGAAACAAAATTGATTAGAACAGATTACCCTCTAAAAAGGCAACAATGATCTGATAAGGGTTTAACTTAATGGAAGTTTAAAAAAAAAAAAAAAAATTAAGAATTGCAGAGCACAGCCCCTATTAGAACAAGCTAACTTTCCAGACTTTCAAAAAAGACAAAAAAAAAAAAAATTGAGAGAAAAAAAAACAACACTTCAACATGAAGCTACCATACAAAGTTTTTTTCGTTTGTTTTCCTTTTTTTGTTGTTTTTGTTTGTTTGTTTTCTTTTAAGAGTTCAGAGTTGCAATTTAATCCTGGCTCTTTAGTGAGAAGGACAGTTTTGGCCTAGACTTCCCTTTGCCCAGGATAATTTTTTGCTCTTCCTTTTGCTGACGTTGTCTCTCTTGTTCTAGTTTCATCCTCTCCTCATGAATCTTTCTTTGTTCTTCAACAATTTTCAATTGTTCTTCAGCCTATATATGAAAATGGTAGAATTTAGGCCAGCATATTTTGTAGTCATAAGAGCAATTTATTCACTTCCAAACAGGTCCAATCCTGCATCAGTATGTAAGCAGTTCTACCTGAGCTAGACACCATCGTTGGTTTCAGTGAAACTATTTATAAAACGGTTGTTTGAATTGAGTTTAGAAGAAACACTGAAAACTTTATACAACTAAAGGATCACAATATTCGGTGCTTACATGCAATGTTTTTCAGCATTGCTTTGCAAACATTACATTTTAATTAGGGAAGTCAGAGAGTATATAGAGAGAAATTCCCCTGACACCTGTCACACATCAGATGAAGGCACATAATAAAGTAACAGATCTTCAGAGGTCTCCCTGCTCTAAAACCCACCTAAAACCCCCTCCTAATTCAAAACTATCTTTACGTGATTTGTAAAGAGTCAACCCTTACGCTGACTTATGGTTCTTACAGCTCTTCCAATGGTCTTCAGAAGATGCTCGTTACACCAGTTAATACTTTAAATTTTCTATTTGTCCTGTTTCCAGTATACGAGGTTGGGAAAAGGGTAAAACAGAAAAAGATCTAAAGCAGATGGAGTGCAATTTTAAGCATCATCATCTTTACCTGGAAAAGGTGTAATTACTTCGTAATTGAAACCAACAGATTTCAATCAGGATTTAGTTAGCTTAGTTTAGCTTATCATCAATTGATTAGAATCAGCTAAATCATATTGAATGTTCTTATGAGTCAGGCATCTGCTTAAATAAGCTCGGAGACCAATATAAGCTAGACTTTCATAACTTAAACATCTTAAGCTTTTGCTGAAAGTCCCTTTCAGCACTTGACATCAACATTATACTAGTCTCAAATCCAGTTTGTACTTGCCCTGCTCAACAAAACAGAATTAGTCACTTCTGTTCTAGAAGTTGAATGTGTTTGCAAACTCTTCAACCTTCCCTGCGAGATAGTTAAAAACATACTTTTCAAGTTCTGAAGGCAGCTATATTTCTCTAAATTAACTGCATCTGAACTATTTTTTCAGAATAGTGTTACTGCTAAGGATCTGGTCTCTTATGTTTGAGGGAAGGAGAGCAATGCTACTGACATATAACCGGCAACAGACAAGATAAACTCTAGAAAGGGTCGATTTGTTTATTTTAATTGTGTTGCAAATTAGGCAGAGGGACCTGTATTCCCCTACAGAACGGTTAACTACATCTTCACATACCAGTTTAGCTTGTGCTTCTGCAATTTTTCGATTATTCTCTTCTAGTATTCGCTCTAGTTCCTCACGCTTTGCACGCTCTTCTTCCTAAAGGGGAGGACAGGGCAAGATGTTAGTAAAGTAAAATATCCATTTCCGCATGTTCACTAATCTTTCTCAGAATTCTTTTGTGAACTGACTTAAAGTGGCAGCTTTACAGCCACCTATTTTGTCTCACAATGGTAAATTGCGCAGCCACTAAAACTGATTTCTAGTACTCAATCTAAATCATCCCGCCCAGTCCAAACAGCAACCAACTAAACCCTCCCTAATCATAGAATCCTGACAATTTATTACTAGAATTTTAATATCACACAAATCAACAAGGACAACTACAAAAACTGGATAGTATTTACCAAATTAAAAAGTAATATAGAAAATATAAATAAAGTGAATAGTTTGTCTCACCAATTAAGTATACCTACGTATTCTTTACCTATACTCCTTTAATCAGCATTAAAAGTTGAATATTTACTGTCTTGTCCAGTGTCCTGCAGAGTGTGCTCCTCGGCTGCCATACGCGCCAGCTTCCTCTTTAAAATGATTTGTACTGTTAGCTTGGCAATACCTGCATCAGCAGCTCAACCATTTATAAAGAAACAACATACAAGGAAGGCTGAGCTGAGGAATGCAGATGTTTATGATAAGAAGGAACAAAAATATGTAAATCATTCCTAAGGCAAACAATTAATAAGAAAAATACATTTACTGTTAGTGAAAAATACAAATGGTAATCCATACTTCATGGAGCTATGGGCTTCCTTCATGGGGAGAATGGACTTAACATTCAATATTTTGACAATTTTAAGACAGCTGAAACTGTCATTTGCAGTCTGAACTTGGAATTCAGGAGTCCAGGGAAGGCAAGATCAGGAAATAAAGCCTTGTAATTGTTGTTTTCTTGGTGAATTTTATGGAACTCTGTTATGCAACTCGTAAGTATGAAGACTGCGTGAAAGTTTTTGAGGTGTTTCAGTTCACGTAATATAGATCCGAATTATTTTAATATTTGGAAGATTTAAAGTTAGCCAGAGGTTTGTGTCTGTGTAAGAAAAAAAAGTTAATACGAACAAAGCAAGCATACGAAGAGAAAACTTCTTACTATGACTAGTAACCAGCTACTAGCTAGCACACTTCACTCCAGGCATGGAAGTTTATTCTGCGTTATAAAGAATGGATGGGACTTCTTGACATCACATTGACAACAGCAAAAATACTTCCAAACAACAACAAAAAAAAAAGTCATCCATCTGATCAAATGAAGACCTCTACATACAAAGTATTTGCTGACTATAGATGTCTAAATTCCAACTTCAATTCTTTTACAGTTAAGGTTTGAATTTGAAAAACAAGTGTAATTTAATATTCTTAATATTTGTTGTAACTCAGTGTTCTGTTGGGATTTTTTTTGTTTTTAATTTAAAGATATTATGTGACATACAAGTCACATTTAGTATGAAGGGGAAAGCTTCAGTGCTACTGTCTTTCCTTTTGTAAGCCAATCAAAATATTAATTTAAAATAAACTGCATAGGAAGTATAGGGTGAAAAAAGGCATTTGAGACTTAAGACTATTCAGGACAAATTTCCTTTACGGTTTAAAGTTTGTCTTGAAATTTCTGGATCCTGGAATGATTGGTGCAGGCAGGCATCAAAGCCTTTAGTAGCAAATTACTGTCTCACAGAAAGACATTTTCAGCTTCTGCTCCAGCTGCTGATTAAAAAAAACAAAACCAAAAACCCAAGTCACATATTCAGCTTGACTTCAGACAAGGGCAACCTGCTCTTTTATAACTTCTAGGGAAAAAAAAGTAGTTGTTAGTAGTTATTAAAAATGGATATAATGATTTGGACATAGATCCTTCATGAAGACGTGGATGGGCTTATGCTCGAAGTCCCAGAATTAGTCCAATGTATGCTCAAGGAAAATGTTCATTTTAAATGAAGAGTAAGAAACCTATTTGTTAAAGACAGGTACTGCAGCTCACTGCTGGACCCTGCTTTTTGCCTGACTGAAGGCAAAAGCCTCTTACAGTCTAGGTAAACAAAATGAAACAAATGAAGGATACATAATTACAGATTTTCAATACCCTTCCCCAAAAATGAAAGGACCGCTGATAAATCCTGCAGCCATGGCAAAAGTTTCAAACAATTCTGAAATATGTAGGTCAGTTCCATTAAAAATCAAGTATCCTTGTTCAGGTTTTAGGAGAATAACTGTTTAAGTATCAGTGAGCTCCTCTGAATAGGCTAGAAATTAAGTTTCGCAGCAATGCAAGTTTATACGAGAAGGGAATTAGATTTGCTGTATTCCATCTCTTTCTGAACCGAACAGGAGGCACAAACCGACACTGAAAGTTTTGCCATGGACTGTCTCTACTTTCCAAACGACCGAGCGTTACCTCTCTGGCTTTTTGTGCTGCAAGTTCAGCTTGTCGCTGTCGCTCGAGTTCTTCGAGCAACTGCTTTTCCATGATGCGCTTAGCCTCCTCCACCCTGCGGAGAACCTCTCGCTCAATCTCATCCTTCCTTTTCTCCAACTCTTCTTCTACACGTTTAGCCACAAGCTCCTCCACTCTTCGAGCAGTTTCTTCCTCTATGAGTTTCTCTTCAATTTCTTGTTGACGGCTACAAAATGCAAACACTAGGATTACCCTTTTAATCAATAAAGAATGGCTGCACTGAAACAAACGCATTCAAATACACAGCATCAGCCACAATACTGAATCACTTTTTAAAAGTTTTATACCTTATACACACAGATCATATATTTAAAAAAATGTTCCCTACATTTAAGGGAAGTGAATATTCAGGCAGTGTTCCTACTACAGGAACCCATTCAGACCACACCATATTTAGCATCTCTCCGTATCTCAAGACACTAAGCTTAAGATGACAGCTTATCCTACTACTTCTTGATCACTTTTAGGGGGAAAAAAAAGAAAAGAAAAAAAGAAAGAGACCCCACCCAACTTTGGCCATCCTTCACCCTTCAGAAATGTAAATGGTCTCAATTTTAAGCCACGTGTAGCAATATAATGTATTAATATCTTGTTTTAAAGCCACTACTCAGAGGCACCAAACTAATCTTTAATAACTAAAATAGAAGACAGAAGCAATAAAATTTGTGATTTGATGATTTTAACAAGAATTCCAGGTGTTGTACCTGTAATCTAGTTATTCAATCATTTACCTTATCAAATTTCAAACACCTCAGCTCTTCTTAACTTCCTATTTGTAGCATTCTGTTTCTACCTTGCAACCTTTACAGTTTTCCATGTTCTGAATTTTGGAAGTATTTTCAAATGTCTTCTTGTCTTTATTTTTGTTTAGCAGTAGCAACATTATCACTTAGCCTGATCATTGTCTCAAGTTTTCATTAAAAAGGATATAAAAAGAGTAGGTAAATTTGCAGGCTTATTACAAAATGAAGGAAAAAAAAAATCTTCTGTGTAGTAATCACAGTACAATACGGCATTTAGATATCCAAAGACCAAAAAAAGTGAATACTGTACAGCTACATTTCATGTAACACTACTTATCTGGAATCATTATGGGCTTTGAGGAGAAGGTTGTTCTCTTTAACCTTGAAATTGAACTTTCATCTTAAGTATTCTGTGAAGTACGAACAATCCTACAAACTTAACTTCTGGCCTGTCAGCACCAGTAACCCATGATTTAGAATAATAACTACTGTTGTATATCCTAGTATTGATACTGTTGATAACCTACTATCATGTCATTTTCATAACGTTTGCATTTTCTTACTTATCTTGAAAGATAGATCTTATTTATATTGAGAGAGACAAAAGCAACTTTTAAAAAAGGAAAAAAAATGTTACAGGTTTACTAACTTTTAGACTTCCTAGTGTACAATTTGCAAACATGCGATAGGAGATAATGAAGTATTGATTACTAGAAGTGATAAACATGTGAGATGCAGAGGTGAAAGGCTCCCAAATTCCCCATTAATATACCTTTTCTTTCAAAAGTGTGCTGAAACAAATGGGTAGTCTATCTCCTTCAGTAAAAAAAGTTTGGAACACCCAACTTAAACATTCAGCCCCAAAAGACAAATTTTATTCTTATGTTCCTGAAGAGATAGCAAATTTACCCAGTGGCACATTAGACCAGCATTCACTTTTCTGAAAGCAACACAAAATACCTTGAGGTAATTTATTTCAGAAAAACAAAAAACCAAGACCACCACCATCCAGAAAAATGCATCAACTCTGTTCTGTAAGTGTATCTCTGCCAAGCCACTACTACCTACAATCCTTTTTGGATAAGAGGTAGGGAAGGGGTCAAAAGTTTAAAATATTAATTTTTTTAACACCCTTTATATACTAAATAAGCTTTTAATTTAAAAGTTTTTCCTTCCCTCTTGCAGGTATCTATTTAGGAGCAAGTACTCTTGCTGTCCTGTACTGATACAGCTTATCATACGTAAGAGGCTGTTCTACAGAAACAATTTTTCAGAAAGCTCACATTCACATGTCTTATACAACTGTTTTAGCTTTACATTTAACATCAGGGAAATCTAGAATAAAAGTTAGCTATTTGAATAAAGATAGTAAATAGTTACAAAAAAAACAACCCCTGACATCCACGTCTGAAGTAAGTTTTCAAATATTCTCAACAACTGATGAGGTACTACAATTTAATTACTACAATTTAATATTGTGCCTGCACACATTTAATTCTTCTCACCCCAACAAATTCCATTAAAATTTAATTAAACCAAGCAAATTTATCTTTTCACATTCATAGGCAATGGCAGTATTACAAATACATAATAACTGTTCAGTGTAAGCAACTACATTTCTTGAAACACTCAAAATAGAATAAAGTAAAAAGTTATTCTCAAAGTTAATTTATAATACCACCCTGTGCCTATGGATAAAGATAATTCTAAACAATGGCTTTGAGTTTATCAAATTATAAACACAGACATAAATCTCAATGATTTATTCTGTAGTTTATACCAACTATTCCTTGCTTTTTTTTAAATTGTATGAACAAAATAGGAATGAATGAAGTGTTTTATACAAATGTATAAGCTTATCATCCTGACCTACTGAGTCACAACTCCAGAGAAACAGGTAAATCATTAATGTAAAAAAATTTTTAGTATTTTCCATTTACTTCTTAAAGACTAATTTTAGAAAATCTGCAGAAAACAAGCTGCATACATTTCAAGCAGATTTCTGAGGGAAAAAAATGTCCTATTTGCAAGGCGTTTATAGAAAAGCAGCATTATAGGAAAAAGTAGAAGTTAGGCCATGTATTAAGATTTGAAGAGAGACAAGAAGAAAGTCACTTTCAATATATGACCTGTCCACTAGTTAATTCAGTCAGCCAGACTTTCTTTCCTTAAGTAATCTAAGTATATACTAACATATATAACACAATTTACACATGATTTACTCAAATATCAGTTTTCTAGTCTATTAAGTTTTATTGCTTTTTCTTTTCAAAATTTAAAGTGTACTCTAGAAGCATCAAAATTCTGTACCAAATCTTGTTTCTCCCTCAGAAGTTTACTATTTTGCTGCCTATATCACTCAAATGTCATATTCCTTGTATACTGACTTCATGACCGCTTTAAAATTTTAAAGCTAACTTATATAGAAAACTTACTGTAGAAAATAAGAGCTGAAATGTATGTTGCTACACCTCATATTATTGAATGAACGAACTCCTGTTCACTCAGTTTCCATTTGATCATCTCACAGCAAAAAAGCGATCAAGTATTTTAGAGGTATTATTTAAAGATTATAAACACTTCCATTATCTACGGGCACTTGAACAGATTCTCTCTTTCAACTTTTAAAGCCTAGACATAGGCTAACCATAAAATTCTCCACTAGGCCTAACACTGTTCAAAAATTTAAGTAGGATAATATTTATTTTATTTGTGTAATGTTGTCTCTCTTCAATCTTTAAATCTATTTACGTTATATTTAAAAGAATACCTATGAACTAAAATAGTTCCAGAACAGTAAGATAAACTATTCACTGTACTCTCAAATTGTTCAGCACATTCCAATCCTTCACACCAGATATGCATGGAGTATTTTTATTAATTTAGGTACTGAAAAAACTATAAACTACAGAATTAGGGTCAAAACTCAAAAAGCCTTCAACATTTTCATGTGTGTTTGTGTTACTATGCAAGTTTTTGGTGACATCACTGTCAAATTCCAAAGTTAGCAAAGAAGAATATTGAGAAACAAAAATGAAAGTGACAACACAAGATGATAATTAATATCTCATTAGAACAGTATCTCTGCAATAAAACTCAAAGCTCCCCCTGAAAATTAACAGAACTACTTGGCTTCACACAAACAAGTGCTCTTTCTGGATTCAGTGCTCCAATGAGCAAGGGTACCATTCAAAGAACAAGAATCACAATATCACAACTGTCAAAACCGTTGTTATCCCTGCTGCACAAAGGTCTCTTCCCTAACTTAACAATATTGCCAAAACATCTTAATGCACATCCAACGTTCATTAAGACAGAATTTATCTATGTCCGTAGACTTCAGAAATAACCACATGCCCCACCACGAAAACTCAAAAAGGTTTCAAATGAAGCAAGTCACCGGATCTCACTGTCCCATTTGGCAAGAAAATAATAATAATAATAAAAAAAAACAACCCGAAAACCCCAGCGTTAATATAATGGTTGCACAGTGTTCCTTAAAACCCTCAGTGGAGCAACTCCAGATGCCTGCGCTCGACGCATAATGAGCTGCAGGCAGCGGAGGGGAGGGGAGGGGCAGGCAGTGTGGCAGTGCAGCACAAAGCCTCCGGGGCGCCGAGGCCTCCTCCGCAGAGGGAAGTTTCCGAGCAGCGCCGGAGAGCAGCGGCAGACGGGCAGCGAGCGGAATCGGCGGTCGGGGAGGCGGCGTGCCGGGGGGCTGGCGGCCCGAGCGGCCGACTCCTCCCGCAGCTGAGGGAGCCCGGGCTTTAGGGAAGGGAAGGATGGCGGGAAAAGAGGCCTCGCCGAGGGCCTGAACGCCTTCACCC